AGCACAGGCGGCGGCCAACATCTCTCCAGTTCGGGACTCGTTCTCATAAATGCCTTTGAATGAAGTGATCAGTTTTGAGAGCAAAGTCGCCACTATAGAGGCCACGTGAACGAACCTATCGGTGCATGAGTACTGTTAGTGAACAACTGTTTCTCTATGCAAATCAATTAACATTTACTAACGGTCCTTCTTTGCCCAGAGGTAGTCCACTGCCTAATGTTGAGGTCAGACCTAATCCAGAGTTTAGTAAATCAATCATGTCCTTACTCAGATATTCTTAACTAATCTTACAGTTATCAATATATAACTTAATTATAGTTAGTTTCAGTAGGAAGTTACTTCTATCGATTATTTATAAGATAAAAGTTACTATTTATAAAAATATTATATAAAAGTTTATACAGTATTTGCTATATACAATATTAATATAATTAACGTCATAAATACCTATCATTTTAGCGACTAATGTACGAAACGTCAGATATTCATTGAGAACAACCCCTTTATAGATAATTACAATTAACAATTAGATTTTTTTATTGCTCCTCATATTAATTTGTGAATTACCTCTTAATATAGTCTTCATTTCAGGTATTCCTGATCCGACTGCCTATCAAATCAAATGATAAAACTATTAAATAATTTGTGCTAGATTAAAATTAGGTATAAATTTAAGCTCAGAAATTATTCATTTGTATAATTTTATATTATATTATACAAAGTATTATACGAAGTATAATATAAATGATAATTGTAGTTATATTTGTATAAAATTGTAATAATGAATACTAAGTCTAAGCTTGAGATTGAATGGTATGTTCACCTGTGGAGACACGATGTGAACAAATCCGGAAGAAAATAAAATTAAAAGTACGGGTAATGTTGTCCACGCAATGTATTTGTAGACTATATTATCGCCCGTCAAGTCATCGTAGAGCCAAAGACGGGTTTTGGTGCAAATGTGTATACAATCTATGAAATCATTGTTAACAACCGATATATTTGTGATATACAATCATTAAGTTAATGAAAGCCTTACAATCCATAATAAAGCTCAAAAGAGCCATGATTATTCCTAACAGTGCCAGAAAGACCCAGTCCTCACCTATCCGGGCAAATGTGTGTCTCCAGAATATTGAAAAATATGCTGTCGTTTGATAAATCGATATTTATATTAAAAATAATACAAAATATAAAATTTACTGTTATAGTTTTATTAATAATTCAATAATGCAATCATTCTGTATATAATAATAAAATATCATTAAATATAATTCCAAATATAGACATTCAATATTAAAAAGTCAAAAATCAAAATCATTATAACGTTTAATTACAATGCTTTTTATTTTGTATGCAATATTAATACATTCATTAAAATAATTTGTCTATTATACTATTAATATTAATCATTCAGAAAAATGTTTGGAAAAATAAATTCATTTAAACATAGATTAAAATTTAAATAATAAAATTGAAAATTCATTTATGCAAATGTGAAAATGTGAATAATTCAATTATTTCTATTACTGTATTTAAATCTTTGAATACAATTCTGTTCAGAATTTAGACAAGAATATTCAAAAATTATTTCGTACACATATTGTTTATATTTATTTCGATTTAAATATTTATGATAAAATATGTCTAGATCAGTTTAAATAGCATTTATTAAAATTTGATCTAATATCATTATAATTTGATTATACTGTATCTTCTATAATATAGTATTGTATATTATATAGTATATTATTCTTAATAATTATTATTTCTTAAAAATATCAGCTTGTCAATAATTAAGCTAAATATTTACACCATTACAGTACTGTACTGTATATAACTACATATCTATAGAGTTTAAACATATCATTAAATAATTCTTCAATCTATCATTTTTACCTAACATAGAAATTATTTATGTGAACCTGGCTCATAGGATCAGATGAATTTGTACATAAATCATTAATTATATTTTATTAATGTGGTAGTAAATCAATAAAATATAATTTTAATAATATATTATTTAAAGCGAATATTTCTAATATAATATACTAGTTATACTTTAACTAATGTCAATTTTTAATACAATTAACATTTAATCTAAATCTTTATTTAAGATAAATAAATAATTGTTAACAGGTCAAATAATGATTTATCAATACCTATTAATTGTCTGCTAATACTAATAATAAGAGCTAATTGAGAAATTGATAAAATGTATGTTTAAGAGTATGTTTAGTTTTAAACACGATTTTGTTTGTTCATCACTGAATGTCACCTCATTTGAGTGAATGCATGGAAATAATTGTACTCTTTTTGGCATTTATTGCAAAATACATGCTTTCCATTCAAGTGATATGAATTGACATTAAGTTCTACTCTATTAATATCTGTTTCAAACACTCGTCTCACCCATTGGTAACTTTTGGCCACAAACCAAATATGACAGCTTATGTGTGAGGATCTGGATGGTTTTAAAAATATAAATATTTTCTGACTAATCTGTTTTTATATATTTATGCNTCTGCACAAAACCCTTCAATAAAATTCAAGTCCACAACAGATCTGGAAAAATATTTGGACTAAAAAATGGGTGTTTCGTACGGAATAGAAATGAATAGGAAGAGAGAAATTGCGAGAATCACTCAAAATATAAATATATACACAAAAAATTGTAGTGAAAAGGAAAATTCAAATCAGTTCTTCGAATGAAGAAAAATTCCTGTTTTTGATTTAAATATTTTTTGCCTCATTTTTACCGTCAAATGAAAAAAGTGTAGAAAAACTACGAGAGAGAGAGAGAGAGAAAACGAGAAATAACAACAAAAAAGAGCTCAAAATTCAGCACAAAATACGAAACACTATTCGCATGTTATATGAGTTTTAAGTGAAAAATATCGACGAAAAAAGTGAAAGAATATAATAATAAAAATTTAAAGGGAATACAATATCTTAAGAACATTATTAGTGCGAAAGAGAGGTATAAAGAGAGCACTGGTATGTGAAAGGGATGGCAGTGTAGCACAAAAGGTGAGTGCAGTACACTCGATGAACATTAATATATCAGTAGACAAGTGTAGCGTTCATATCATACCACAGAAGAAAATAATAATTCTCTCTTCAGATATACTGTACGACCAGAAAAAGGTATTCAAAATTTTAAACACATGAGCGCTCATGCGATAGAGGGCTCGCATAGGAAGGGACAGGCGTATGGAGAATACAGTGAACCAAACAATTACTCAATACCGTAGCTATAAATACATTGTAGGGTATATTGTGTTGAAAATAATTTTCTTGGTCAGACATGTGGACCATAGGAGAGACTGACACCGAATGTGTCGTGTATTACATAAAGATAATGATATTTTAAAGTACAAATAATCACTATTACTTTCGCTGCATATATGAACCGCAAGTATTTCTCTCTCATAGCAGTTCCCAAACATCAAAATTCAATTCAATTCACAATTTGAAACCAATCTCTCACTTCTCTCACCCCTTATCTCTATTATTAGATAAAACACATTAAAAATTCTCATTTTCGAGATTTAACTCAAGAACAGGTCTCTAAATGTAATAAGTCGTCGGCACAACCGGTAAAAGAGTTGAGAAAATGCGAGAAAGAGAGAGAGAGAGAGAGAGTCACGTATTGCTATCATTTGGCAGCAAAAGTATAAAAAACATTTATTATTAACAATAATAATGACGAGTCGAGTTGTAGAGTATATTAAAAACATTTTCACTTTTCATGTTTAGCTGTTCATGAAATATAGTGAATTGAGTAATACTCGGTCTCACAGAATATATTTGCTTCAGTAATATCTTTACAAAATCTTTCGTTATTTTATAATATTTTTCATTTGATAGCAATTCGTACAATAAAATGAGAGAAAATTTTTCACCAAAAATGTAATTAAATTATTTCGTGCAAAGAATTTCATATATTATATATACAACTCTCTAATGGCTTATGGGATGAGTTATCGATTGGTACGTTAATCTTAGGTATCATTTCTAATATTATTTATTCTGGCAATTAATTGTGTAAAATGTTTTCTCATTTAGAAAATATATAATAGAAATAACAGCCAAAAGACAACATTAATGGCAGATATGAATAATAGGGGAATAAATTAATAGAAAATTAAACCATCAGAAAGTAGTAAAAAATTGAAAACATAATAAAAAGTCTCATAAAAAGTAAGTCTATCGACAGACACAAGAAATGTGAGGAATTACTCGAACGCACACCTAATGATAGGTCGGCGCCGACTACACCAACAAAGAGAGAGAAAACAGCAAAAAATTAATATATTTTACATCCATTTTACTTAAAGCAATAAAAAAGTATAACTAAAAGGAATGCCTAATATATAGACATAAAGTATTGCTAAGAATATTGTCCGCAGAGAATACAACAGGAATTGTGTGCGAATCGCACCGACTGTTGGGTTTAACAGTGTATAAGACATACACGAGAAACACATCCAGAGTTGTAACACAAGAGGAACGACAGATAAGACCCGAGAATATATAAAACAAAATAAGAGCCAATCGACTAAATATGCGAATCGATTGTGTCGTGAAAACTGTCAGCGAAAACATCGGTTCATAAAACTTATCATAAGTTTTTGGATTCTCTCTGCGAATACACGACACTCTCTTTTGACACAAACTTTCAGACGAAAAATACTTTTAAGTAAAATGTAGAGAAAAGATGCCACTCAGGGATGAGAGAGAGAGAGAGAGAGAGGAGAGAGAGGAGAGACTGGAGACAGACAAGTGGTGTCTTGAGCCGGTGCTGAATGTGACGGCATGTGGCAAATGGTGGCCAAACATATAGCGAATGTGCAAAATATCGGTCATTAATCACATGAAAGTAGACAAACAATGCAGCGAATAATTTTCACTTCACTTTTGCATCACATATGATATGATAGACAATATTCTGTATTCTCTTGTTTGGTGTTGTATTTTGTATTATATTTTCATAGCTCATGAATAATGAGCTCAAGTTTTTGAATTTAGCAAAATTGAGTAAATATTATATGAAAAATATGGTGTCTTTTCTGCGGGGCTTCTCTATCTATCAAACATACAGTTTGTTTGTATTAATACACGAAAACAATAAAATATGCTCAAGTTTTTGAATTTAGCAAAATTGAGTAAATATTATATGAAAAATATGGTGTCTTTTCTGCGGGGCTTCTCTATCTATCAAACATACAGTTTGTTTGTATTAATACACGAAAACAATAAAATAGTTTTCAATGTTTGGTAAAAATCAAAAGAAAACGAAAACATTGAATGCTATAAAACGTGAGATAAGACTGTTATTCATAATTTCGTTGCACTTATGATAATTAATTTCTCTGAAAATAGTTATTAAAAAATAACAAAACTATTATCACATTTTAGGCTAAAAGCGATTTTCATTAATAACAATAATAATGACATAAAATATTCTGGTCGCAAGAAAATTGAAATTCAAAATTCGTATCGACTTTTAGTGAGTGAATGAAGGATTTGTGATGAAAATAATCTCTCATTTCGTAAAATGTAATAAAAAATAAACATAAAAACAGGGCTTTCGGTGGCATATGAATGAATGGGAAGTAGAAATGTTGTAAAAGTCTATCAACTCTTTATCTAAACTAATAATAATAATAATCTAATGCCTAATAGAGAAAGAAATGCAGAAATGTCTAGAATTTTGAATAAAAGAGTAGAAAAGGAATCGATTTTAATTAAGT